TGAAGAAAAGTATACCGCAACGAGAAGGCCGATCTCGACGGATCCAAACAAGACCCCGAAGAACGCTCCAATGCAAGAGAGGAAATCCAGTTTATCGACCTTCCAGATGTTATAGGCTTCGTTGAAGTCAATGAGGCCAGGAAGGGCGGAAAGAATAATTGAAGCAAGGATGGCGATAGGCGTGAAATATAGGAGAGTAGTCAGTATCTGCAGTGCGACCAACACCGCAATGGCCATTACTATGTTTGAGACCACTGTTTGGCAGCCCGCGCTGAAATTGACGGCCGTGCGTGAGAACGAACCTACGTATACAATATATTTGTTAATCCAGTAAGCCAATTAAACCCATCATCGATGGTCAATTCTAATTAATTAATTGATCATATAAAAGAAAGTAAGAAGCTATATATATATATTGATGGTGATCCACTGCTAGTACTAGTACTAGTACTAGTACTGAGTACTGACCAGTGGCTACATAACAAGAAGTTAGAGAGCCTGCAATGTTCATGACTCCCATGGCTACCATCTCTTTATTTCCATCAAGTTGGTATCCTCTTACTGATGCAAACGATCTCCCAACCGCAATGGCTTCCTGAAAATTAAATTAAGGGTTGTTACGCCAACTACGTACTACTGTTTTTTATATATACAAATTATCAGATGCACTTTGTAACAAATAAAATAAGGAGTAAGAATAGTTAAATCAATATTCTACAACAACACATACCGTGAGAGCAATGATGGCAGAAATTAACCCAATTTTGGCCGCTTCTCCAACGTGTGGGCCGTTGAGCTCTATCTCCTTCACCGAKCTTGGATTAATTCCTCCTTCGAGGTGTTTTATAATCTTAACTCCATGTTTATCCGCTCTCGTGACGAAGACTATAAGCGTGGACAATACGACAGATATGAGAGGAGCAAGAGCTGGTACCCAAAAGAGTTTCCTGTTTTTTCTGCCCTGTACATGAATCGTATTGGGACCGGGCTTGAATATTTCATATAAAACAATTAATTAATAATATATAGATGCTTGCATGAAGTTAACAGATGTTAATTGCTTACCACAAATCTCATGGCTAGGATGAAAATCAGGAATGAACACCCGAGAACAAAATTAAGGGGGCTCCACTGCAGGTATCAGACACAGACACAAGCAAAATAAATAAAAAATTAGCT